GTCAACCCTACTTTCTGAGTTGTTCTTGTCTTCTGGCAACTCTGCGCATGCACACACTGGTAACGGGCTCCAGCTGTTGCTCTGCCTCACTGCTGTCTACCTCCTTCTCTGCCTCTGACGCAGAGCCCTCGTCCGAGCTTTCCCCAGCCCTCAGGACTGGCACAAGTTCCTCCCCAACCTCCTCACTGTCTGACTCTGCTGCCAGCTCTGCTGGCCACCAGCAGGCCACAACACAGAGTTCCATTTCTGCACTGGAATAGCTTTCCATTTTTAGCATGTGTAACGATGGCAGTTTCACCAGAAGACTGGTAAGAAGGAATTGGTACCTCTTTCCTTGAGGTCCATATTAAATAGAACTGTATATTCCTGTGTAATGGTGAGCATGAAATACAGAATTAAGCAAGCATTTATTTTACTCACTGAAGAGTTATACCCGGGTTATATTTTGTTTTGCTCTGACCTTTAGAGGGGACACTTCCATAGAACAGGATCATCTTTTTCTTCTTCAATCCAAAAACCTTGAGAAGACCTCATCATCACTAGGAATAAACAAATACTCCTAAACGTGGGATGCTCTCATATTTAGCAAGATTTGATGACGCTTTCCAAGGACAAGATAAGATCATTGGCCTTGGCAAAATCAAGTGAGAGGAGAAAACAGGTGTGATTAATTATGCTTTGGAACCCCCATGAGATGGAACTTCAAAGCAGTCATAAATTGATCTGCATATTTGCTGGGTTTGAAGGAGTCCATCTGCCATCATCTCTTGGGATGTCAGAAGACTGTGGTGGGGTGGGGGTAAGGTCTTTTTTTCTTTATCTTATTGCATCCTGGTATTCTTGAATATCCTTTGGTTCTACCTAGTATTGTTTTTTTTTTTTTTCTGATACTGCCTTGGATTACTGTACTCATATTGGTTGGTCATGGCGCTGAATCGAGAAGAACCTGTAACCTAACCATTGCTGGACTGGGGGCAGAGCAATACAGCATGTGCCCAAAATTTGCTATACATGTAGCCCTCAACACATGACCACAATTGAGCCCCAAATTTCTATTAAGTGAGACATCTGTTAAGTGAGTTTTGCCCCATTTTAAGACATTTCTTGCCGCAGTTGTTAAAGTGAATCGCTAAGTTAGTTAAGTTGTTAAGCGCATCTGTCTTCCCCATTGATTTTGCTTGTTGGAAGGTCACAAAAGGTGATCACATAGCGACGGTCATAAATATGAACCGGTTGCCAAGCATCTGAATTTTGATCACATGATCACGAGGCTGCTGCAAAGGTCCTACATAACCTGTGAAAAGCGGCCATAAGTCATGTTTTTCAGGGCCCTTGTAACTTTGAACGGTCACTAAATGAACTGTTGTAAGTTGAGGACTACCTGTATAGAACCAGATTTAGTGAGAGGGAGGCTCCATCAAAATGTCACTACCAAAACATACAGGCCATCTTATTTATTTATTAATTAAATTTATATCCTGCCTATCTCATTATCCAAAGCGACTCTGGGCAGCTTACAATACAATAAAATCATAAATACAAAAAGATTACAATTAACAAGAATGAGATAAAAACTAAGAGCCAAGAGCCTGAAAGATTGGCAGTGGTGATACTCCCCCAACCACCCCTAACCAGTGGTGAAATCAAATTTTTTTTACTACCGGTTCTGTGGGCGTGGCTTGGTGGGCGTGGTGTGGCTTGGTGGGCATGGCTTGGTGGGCATGGCAGGGGAAGGATACTGCAAAATCTCCATTCCCACCCCACTCCAGGGAAAGGATACTGCAAAATCTCCATTCCCACCCCACTCCAGGAGAAGGTTACTGCAAAACCCCCATTCCCTCCCCACTCCGGAGGGAAGGATATTGCAAAATCTCCATTTCCACTGCACTCTGGGGCCAGCCAGAGGTGCTATTTTCCGGTTCTCCGAACCGCTCAAAATTTCCGCTACCAGTTCTCCAGAACCTGTCACTAACCAAGAGTACTCCCATTGGAGCCCAAACCAATCAGCAGAGCTCAGCTTTCAGAAGGCCAGAAAAGTGGAGGTGACTCTCACCTCAGATGGCAGGATGTTCAAAGGATGGAGGTCTTGGCAGAAAAGCTTCTTCTCTTAGTCCCCGCCAGCTAAAATTCCTTGACCGATGGGGTCTGCAGCATACCCTTTCTGCCGGATCGAGTGAGGCGAGCCAACCTTATTGGGGTGAGAAGATTCCTCAGATGATTCCTCAACCTAGTTTTATGGAGAAATGACTGCAGATAAGAGTCATCAAATTAATCAGAGATTTTCAGTCTTGTTCAGGTCACAGAATATGATAATTAAAATGAAGAACACCCAATTCAGAGATAAAGCAATGAGCAATGCTCCCTGAAGTGATGGAGCTTCTCAATGTAAGCTGACAAAATTGTAAAAATAAAGAAGGGACTTTTTAATCATTTACAGCGGACCTGTGATAAAGCAAACATTTTTGAAGTATGGTTTATATTTTAATACAGAAAATTCTGAAAATGGAGATAAAAATGAAACCAGACCTTTTCCTTTTTTGGGTCTCATGGAAAAAGAACTGGAGAAAAAATTTGGAACTTTGTTACTGTATATATTGTTAGGATATGGTTTGAGCCTAACAAGTTGTCCAGGCAATATATGTGTACTGTAACTTTAATGTGAATATGTATTGTGTGACTTTAAAGTTTTCATGCTGATTCATTATAATGCTGAGTCATGCTGTAATTAAATAATCACTGGTTGTGAGAGTATTTAAGCAAGGAACTGTAATGTATTCAGTTGATGATATGCTGCCATAGTGAGGAGTTGCTATCTGCTATCATCGTTTGATGGATCTGCTACCATCGTGGTTTGTGAACCAGAGTGAGTTTGTTATTCTAACCAACTACTGTCTGTTTGGTAAGAAGATATCTGTAACTACTGGATTGATTTAACTGGCAAAGACTTGGAATTTGTTTAAAGACTATGAGACTGTTTTTCTACTATAAAGTAAGCTTTTGATAAACCAGTTTGCATATCTCTTATTCATTGCTCTCAGCAACGTTTCTCTGTGCTCTACACTCTGCTGGTTGGTAACACAACAACAATATCCTTAATATATACGTTGACAGCAGCACTATTGTATATGCCAAACTGGAAGGACACTTCGATTCCTACCATGGAAGAATGGTTGCAGAAGTTGATGGAGTTGGCTGAAATGGCAAAACTGACTACTTTGCTTCAGTGGTGGGTTCCTCCTGGTTCGGCCCGGTTCTCACGAGCCGGTAGCAGAACTGCAAGCAGTTAAAAGCCTGGTAGACTAGTACCTCTGCTAAATCCTAAATAATTATCACATGACCATCAAGCCATGCCCACAAAATAAGCCACGCCCACAGAACCAGTAGTAAAAAAAATTAGAACCCACCCCTGCTTTGATTAAAGAAAAGAATATAAGTACTTTTGTTTCCACATGGAAACCGCTTCTGAATTTTGTGCTTGAGGTGGAAAAGAATCTAACTCTGACTTTGGGTTTTACAGATTAGACTGATAGATCTTTATAGAAATGACCTGTTCATACTATTACAGAAAAGCAAAAAGCTGTGATTTGATGTTAATGTCTTATTTTACTGTAACAGAGAGAGTCGGAAGTCAATGCTTCTTTTTCTCCCCCCTCCCCCATCTTTCCACATTTCACTTCCCCCGTTCCCCTCCCCCCTCAGTGTTCTTCTATTTACTTTTTTATTTTGTATTTTATAATACTCTATAACTTAATAAAAAAATGTAAGCTGACAAGTCCCTCTCTTTCCACTGTACCTTATAAAAATTCTATGGATGCTCCTGGCTATAATCAAGCTCCCCCTCCCCGCTCAGTTTCTCACAGAACTCAAAAGACTTTGAAAAACCCTAGATTACAAAGACAGAGAAAATATAGGTTAGAAATGACTGTCCTGACTGACTTATGACCCCAGACCTGCTTTTGCAGTCTCTGAAGCCCTATGCATAGATCACAGGCAATTTTGGATTTTATGATTTTGAATATGGGAGTAAAGGTGAAAAATAAAGGCTAATGTATAAGAGCGAAGCTTTTGTTAGTCTTGACACTTCTCTGAACCCCAATAAACATAAACAGGAGCCCAAAATTTCAACCCCATCTTCAGAAACGTCATTATTTTGCTACCACACCCTTTACTGCCCTCAGAGAAGGGGAAAAAAATAGGCTGGGGGAAAGCAGCTTTTGACCGAAAAAGAACAAAAGAGAAAGATACAGGCACAGTTTGACACATCAAATTAGAACCAATAGCAAAACAGTCTTTTTGCCTTTGCATACAAGAAACTGAAAGAACACAAAAAGGACATTCTCTCTGTAAAATGTCCCTTATTATTTGTCACAAAGTTGTCCAGAAAGGAACTGCTAAGTGATGTCAAATACATTGTGACAATTTTAGGTCACATCAAAGTTCAAAATGTTCTGCATTTGCTTCTACAATATTGTGTTTTGATGTTAGTGATGAAGGGATCAAAGTTACTGTAACCAGCAAAATCATATTTTGGAAATATAGAAAGTTGGTGAATCCTTGGCAGAAGATGACTTCGCTTTAGGGTCACCATATTTCCAAGGAGTTGTCCTGGGTGACAAAAAAAATGGTGCACAACTCTGAGGGGGAAGATCAACCTTTATTAAAGCAATCATTGATGGCTTCCAGCTTATAGAAAAAGAGGAAAAAAGCTCAACAGAAAGGTAAGAACCTTTATAAGAATATTGAACTGTGGAGTGGGAAATTTTCAGAGTTTTGATTTACTGATGAAATTTTTTGGACCATAGAAGGAAAATCAAACTGATTTTGCTAAGGTGAGGAAATGGGCTTTATAGGTAAGCAAAACCACACTTCTCAGAAGCAGAAGCAGCAGTAAGCTTTGAAAAGCTAACAAACAGTGCAAAATTGATGGAATTAGATGTGCATCTCCAGTTTAGATGTGACGTTTGTGGTTTTGCCGAGTTACATTGACTTTCTTTTATTAGGTCAGCTTAGACAATTACACATGGGGCTGGATAGATGCTGCTCTGAGTCAGTTTCCTTCTGTCTTTATTAAGGTAAGTGATATTTCTTTCTTCTTGGTAAGGAAAAGATAAAAGGGCTTTGTCTTGGGAAAAGAGTAGGTTTTTTTGGACATGACATGATTGTATTAAACTGGCAACTGTTATGTCTGCAGGGGTAAAAGAAAATGTCGTAAAAATAAAGTTTTCTTTCTATTTCAGCCATAAAAGATTAAAACCAAGGACAAATTAAATTTTAGAGATTTACTTGTTTATTACTATTCATTCATAATGCTATTTCCCCAAGAAATTACAATGCACATCCCCTATCCATTCAATTACATGTTTGCTTGACTTCAGATGTAGAGAAACAGTATAAAAGGCCAAGGAAAGAAGTGAAACTTCTAACTCCAGACTTCCACCCTCCTACATCCCCCATCAAAAAAAACATTATTTGACATAAAAGAGCTTCCTTCAGTATCCTTTCCATCAGAATAATTATTTCCTCCTCGTTGCCCTTACTATGCCAGAAAATTAGGACAGCTTTCCTTTCATTCAAATGCAGGAGGAGCTATTTGAAGGTGCTAAAAGCTTGGTGGATACTATAATATACTGTACTATAGCTTTAGGACAGAGTAATGCCAATAAATATAACATTGGGCAACCAACACCTTCACAAGCAAACCATTTTCCAAGGGTTTTCCCAGTGCCTCTAAAGGTAAAGGTAAAGGTTTCCCCTTCCAATCATGTCTGACTCTAGGAGGCGTTGCTCATCTCCATTTCTTAGCCGAGGGAACCAGCAAAGTCCAAAGACGTTTTCTGTGGTCATGAGGCCAGCATGACTATATAGTGAGATGCACGGAATGCTGTTACCTTCCCACCGAAGTGGTACCTATTTATCTACTCGCACTTGCATGCTTTCAAACTGCTAGGTGGGCAGGAACTAGGACAAGTAACGGGTGCTCGCCCTGTTCCCGGCACTGGGTCTCGAACCTGGGTTGCCAGCTTTCCAGCTGACAAGCTCAGTGTCTTTAACCACTGAGCCATCGCGCCCTCTTAGTGCCTCTAAGGGACTTATTAATATGCATTCTCTCATCTTTGAGTCAGTAGAGAAGTATACCACCATACATGGCACTACTCCAGTGGCAAAGCTTTACCATGCCTTGGAAATGAGGCTTGTGACTGGGGATATTCTTATAGATTTAATGCAGGACAGGTTCTAGCCAGGGATTGTAGATTATTCAATTCCCTTCCCCCCCCCCTTTTTTTTTGTTTTTTGTTTTTTGTTTTTTGATTGTGTGTGTATGACTTCAAGTCAGCATTGAGTCTTAGCGACTGTCTGGATCAATCCCTGTAATTTTCTTGGCAAGGTTTCAGAACTGATTTGCCTAGGGCTGGGGAATAACAAATGCAGATTTTAAGTGCCTCCACACCAGGCTGGAGATAAGACAGAAGAACATCATGAGAACATCAAATATACAGTATGCTGGCCGGAAACAATCTAAAAGTTGACCCACACTCTGTCAAGGACCTAGGAGTACTCATTTCAAAAGAGCTAAGCCCCAGAGCTCACTGTAACATCATTGCAAAAAAGGCATTAAGAGTTGTCAACCTTATTTTATGAAGTTTTCTCTCTGGTAACGCTATACTTCAAACTAGGGCATACAGAACCTTTGCCAGACCTATCCTTGAATACTACTCACCTGCCTGGAACCCTCAATGTATTTCAGACATCAATACATTAGAGAGGGTCCAGAGATATTTTACTAGAAGAGTACTCAAATCCTCTGCTTGAAATAAAATTCCCTATACCACCAGGCTTGAAATTTTAGGCCTGGATAGCCTTGAACTTCACCGTCTACATTCCGACCTAAGCTTAGTACATAAGATTATTTACCATAATGTCCTACCTGTACTTTAATTTCAACCGTAATAACAGAAGGGCTATCAATAGATTCAAACTCAATGTAATTCGCTCTAACCTTGATTGTAGGAAATATGACTTCTGCAATAGAGTAGTAAATGTCTGGAACACTCTACCTGATCCTGTTGTTAGTCTCTCTAACCCCCATACCTGGGGTGGGTTCTACTTACCTTTACTACCAGTTCGCAATGGGATTGCGCGTGCGCGCCTTGCTTCTGAGCATGTGCAGATCACCAATGATGACAACTGGAGCGGTGGGCGGGGCCTCCCACCAGTTTTACTACCAGTTCTTGCAAACCGGTCCAAACCGGGGGCAACCCACAACTGCCCCATACCTTTTACCTTAAACTGTCTACCGTGGACCTTTCATGTTTTTAAAGAGGTCTCTAAGAGGGCGTGCATAAGCGCACCAGCGTGCCTACCATCCCTTTCCTACTGTTCCCATTTATATGTACTCATTTTATGTGTTTATGGCTATGTTTTGCTTATTTTTTATTTGTGCCAAATTTTTTTCATGTGTCCATGTCTATGTCTATACTGTTTCTTGTTTCCTTGTTTAATTTGTTGACAAATTAATAATAATAATAATAACAACAACACACACCTTTGAAAAGAGTTATTGAGGTGTCTTCATATTACAGTAAAGGTGGCATAAGGATGAGCCTTAATAAGTCCACAAGCAAGTCATAAGAATAAATAGCTTTTGTCATTGTTATTCTCCAGTCACATTCTTGGCTGATTTTTGCATCTTAGCTTAAACTGAAAACATTTTTGGAACATTTTTGATCCTAGGGTGACCACACAAAGGAGCCAATTTTCTGCTGATTCCTCTTCTGTTCTTTTGAATCAGTAACATCACAGGGAACAAGGCATCTGTATGGACTTCAAAAGCCTTCTTATTTTTAAAGTGCAAGAACAATGTGTTTACATGCTTTGTTCATGTGCATTTTGTGCCATTGATTCAATGACACAGGATCAAACCTAAGGACTGGGAGACAGCCAGGTGGATGCCTCCTTTTAAACAAAAGAAAGTCTGTCAATCAACCACCAAAGAGCTAGAAACTCAGTTCATGACATAAGCACTGGAAGAGAAGAGCCTTCCATGAAGGATAGACCAGCCTTGTGTTGAAGAAAAAAATATTTGAACCACCCAGCCACATAGTGCTGTCCTATACAGAGATTATCTGTCAAGAAGAACAAACATCTCACACAAAATGGCAGCAATCCCTGGCACACAAATATTTTAATAAAGGGAAGAAACCATTTCAGTGATCTCAGTGGAAGATGTACAGTACCTAACAGCTTCAACTTAACAGCTTGCTGTTTGGTTTATTGCCCACCCAAGTCAATTGCTGTATGTATGTACTACTACTTTGCTAATTGTAGTGCTATACGCTCGCTACTTGAAAAGAATGTGCCAAACAAGAGTGCTGGTGATAAAAAATTTCTGGTGGAGACAGAAAAAGAAAAGCTTAAAAAACTGAGGAAGCATCAGTCATGATATAGATTGGATATACAGTTCCAACCCAAAGAGGATCATTTCTCAGAGCTTCCCTCCTTATCCTATCTCAACATCAGTTATTTTGTTTTACTTATAATTTAGAGGTGAAAATAAATTGTTTTAGCTTGTTTCACAAAAAGCTCCCATTCTGAGGTACCCATTTGTAAAAGGGAGAAATTCAATCTGCCGGCCCAACAGAAACAAAGAAATAAATAAAGCTGCTGCATATACCATGTTTCTTCCAAAATAAAACCCTGTCTTATATTTTTTTGAACCGTGGAATAAGCGCTTGGCCTTATTTTCAGGGAGGTCTTATTATTTTGGGGCGCGTGGAGCAAGACAGGGCTCCTCCTGCCACCTTGCCTGATTTCCAGCTCTGTCTCCCTAACCCTAATCAGAGGAAATGGCGGGGACCAGCTGCGCATGCATTTAAATATTTTCGGGGAGGGCTTATTTTTGGGGGAGGGCTTATTTTCAGGGCAGAGTTTATTTTTGGGGAGGGTTTATTTTTGGGGATGGCTTATTTTCGGGGAGAGTTTATTTTCAGGGAAACACATTGTGTGTATAATTAATTATAGCTTGAGATCTGGTTTTGGTGGAGCAGTGGCTTATCAACCCAGTGAATATGTTTTTTCATGGCTTTATTTTCAAGGAGAATTGAGCAATCCTGGGTTCAATCCAAACAGGGCCTACCAAGCAACTTCATGTCCACTGACCCTTTCCCTACTCATCCTTATCCCATAATTTTGTCTGTTTCAGAAGATGCTGGGTATATTTTTAAAACATGTGCCCAGGATAGTCAGCGTGGCCAAGATATGGTGGAGAACACTGCATAGGGGAGGGGGATCACAGGGATACCAGAGGGACATCAAATGGGAGATGATGCTTTGAAACTATTTATCTTAATTCAGGGGTGGGCAACTGTGGCCCTTTTACAACCTGTGGACTTCAACTCCCAAGCTGTCTCAGGAATTCTGGGAGTTGAAGTCCACAGGTTGTAAAAGGGCCACAGTTGCCCACCCCTTAATTGAACCTGGAACATGAAGCTAGAAACCATTTGTGCTTCGGTCTGAGATGCAGACAACACAGACACATCCCCAACAGCCTGCACCTGTCTTCAACAATGAAGGGACACAGGACACAAAAACATCCTGCAGCCAAGAAGGCTCCAAACCCATTTGTACTACTCAAGTGACCCTGAGGACACAGATAAACCTCCAAGTGGCCTCATCAACTCCCTAAAAGGATGCAAATGACCATCTGTCTGCAAGAAATATAAATCTTCAAAGGACAAAACAAGAAAGTCAAGTTTTCTCCTGAAAAAAGGCACCTTTGGGACAACCATGATCTGGATGACTGAGAATCTCCATAAACATGAATCTAGAAAGCTCTGTACTTCCCTTTCCTCCTTCCCATTATATCCTACCTTAAGGAAGGAGCAGCGCTTCTGGTGGCATTTTTTCAGATCAGATGTGGAGGCCATGGAGGGGAAGACAGACAGGAAAAATGCCAGTGGGGTTTCTTAGCATGGCATTTTTTCAGACCTCAGGATATTTCTGTTTTCTAGTCTGAAATCTTTGGTGGGAATTTGCAGTGTTTCAGTGTTCAGAAAACAGCCGCTCTAACCCTTGATCAATCCATCTCCACATGTACAAGCAAGACTAACCTTTCCTTTCCATGTCTCTGCTGTCAAGCCTCCATTCATTCTATGAAGATCAAGCTCTGCAGTCCTTCCTCTTCAAGCTGCTCAGAATATAAGCTCTGCTTACCATTTCAGAGTGAGCAACCCATCCTTTGGAGACATAATCAAGGGGGTATGGTGACACATTTACCTTTGCCACAAGTGAGTGGCCCAGCTCACTACTGCTCTCATTTCACAGATGGTGATATAAGGCTCAGAAGTGCTGATTCTCATGCAATGCAGCTGCAATTCAACCCCAACTCTCCAGATCCAATCCCAACATATTGTTCCCTGGGCATACACTTCCTAGTCTGGCACCTGAAGTTGCCTTGGCAAATGAAATCCTGCTTCCCCGAGTAGCAGGGGATCTAAGTCACAGAACCACATCCGTGGGTTTCTGCTGTGGTGATATGAGACTAAGTGCTTTGTAACTCTTGGAATTATTCTTAATTGCATCTTCTCCTCCTGTCATTCAGTTTCATGCACTGCTGATAAATATTCTTGCACTTCCACATTTATTAACAGTGGCATATTTATATTAGATGTGTGGCCATGGCAACAGCTCTCTGGCAGCATTGTACACATTTATTTACTTCTATGATATTAGTTTCCAAATTGTATCCTGGTCCTTTTCCTCCTTTCTCTCCACCCCCACCCCCCATTTAGCTTGGTAACTTTTGACTTTATTAGAGCTGATGCCAAACAGAAAAACAAATTAATCTAAACATGTTTATAAACACGTACATCACAAAAATGATTATATCTTCCTTAACGTGCTAATTGTTATTCCGGATCCTAGTTTTCCTTTCCACTTCACAAGCATACATACATACATACATACATACATACCCATAACATCCCAAAAGTGGTATTTTGTCTTTCAAATATAGACTGTACAGCTTTCAGGCCCTGGATTTTATTTTGATTCCAACTTGACAGTTATTAAGTGGGTTAGATTTCTGAAGTATTAATATTAGTAATTTTTTGCTTCAGTGATTGTTTTTTCTTATTCAGATGGCTTCACAATCCAGTTATAATTTCCTTCTTATTGTATGATGTGTCCTGTGAAGCTTAATGGGCTAATAATGCATCATACAGTATTTCCATAGTATTTTAAAGGGAGAGTAGCTTATCTTTTTTTTTCTTGAAAGGACCCTGAACCCTCATAGAGAAGGGATCTGCATGACCTCAGCTGATGGGCAACACCAGAAAAAGCAGTGGGCTGCCCCACTTTCTTTGCTTGTCCTGCCCTATTGTCCAGTATCATTGTTATTCCCTTTTGACATCTTCTTCCCTCTCCCACTCCTATGCCCCACAATGGGGCAGGCTACTGGGAAAGATCCTGACAAATAGATGGGGAATAAACGGAGGTAGTGACAGATTTTATTTTCCTGGGCTCCAAGATCACCACAGATAGGGACTACAGCCAAGAAATTAAAAGACGCTTGCTCCTGGGGAGGAAAGCTATAGCAAATCTAGACAGCATTCTAAAAAGCAGAGACATCACCCTGCCAACAAAAGCGCGTATAGTCAAGGCTCTGGTTTTCCTGGTTGCAATGTATGGCTGTGGAAGTTGGACCATAAGAAAGGCTGAGTACCAAAGAATTGAGGCCTTTGAACTATGGTGCTGGAAAAGACTCCTGCGAGTCCCTTGAACTGTAAGGCGATTAAACTGGTCAGTCTTAAAGGAGATCAACCCTGACTGCTCTTTAGAAGACCAGATCCTGAAGATGAAACTCAAATACTTTGGCCACCTAATGAGAAGGAAGGACTCACTGGAGAAGAGCCTAATGCTGAGAAAGATTGAGGGCAAAAGAAGGGGACGACAGAGAATGAGGTGGCTGGATGGCGTCACTGAAGCAGTAGGCGTGAGCTTAAATGGACTCCAGAGGATGGTAGTGGACAGGAAGGCCTGGAGGAATGTTGTTCATGGGATTGCGATGGGTCGGACATGACTTTGCAACTAACAACAACAACAACTAGGAAAGGGGAAAGTGCTTTAGTCAAAGGTCTGAATTCCTTGCTTGCAAAGCCTTCATGAGATTAGGCCAGGAATTGCAGAAAATTAGGTTGAGAGCTGAGATTACCCATTCCTATATTATTGAGTTCTCTTGAGAAAAATGTTGTTGCAATTATCTTTAAAACAATCCAGATAACATATAAACAGAAATATAGGGTGGAGATTTTCAAGGTTGTTGACTCTTTGTTAAAGTAGTCCAAGATATGGATCTATTCTAGTATGTGTATCTACCAGTCTCTATGTATGTATCTGTACATCTATCTATCTATCTATCTATCTATCTATCTATCTATCTATCTATCTATCTATCATCTATCTATCTATCTATCTATCTCTGTGTATGTGTGTGTGAGGGAGAGAGGGAGAGAGGGAGGGAGAGAGGGAGGGAGGGAGAGAGAGGGAGAGGGAGAGAGAGAGAGAGAGAGAGACATGGATATTGGTCCTTCATGGCTCTTCTGTTCTGACCTAAGCCTCCTGAGTCAGTAAAACACACAGGTAGTCCCCAAAACCTGTTTCATTTTAACAACTATGAATTCTGTTCATTCACAGATGAGTCCCAAATAGTTGTAAAGAGTCCTTCAGGATAAGGCTGATAATCACCCATCTTTATCTCTCTTGACACACTGCCAAAGACCTAATTGGCAAAGCCATATGGAGTTCAGAATCAAACAGAGCTTCAGACTTTAAACTGGACAGAATTAACATTGTTGCTTCCTGCAAAGGCCCACATGCCTTTGCTCCTTTTTTAAGTCTTATGGGAGGGGCCAATCATCTCCAAGCCCTATTCCCGAGTCGCCCTTTTGCTTTAACTGTTCTGGCAGCTCTGCGCATGCACTCACTGGGAACAGGCTCCCCCTGTTCCTCTGCGTCGCTGAGGTCCGACTTTGGAGACTCCGGAAGCAGCACGTACCTCCCAGATGGCCCTTTCTCTGCCTCCAACACAGAGCCCTCGTCCGAGCCTTCCCCAGGCTCCAGGACTGGCCCATGTTCCTCCCCAGCCTCCTCACTGTTCGACTCTGCTGGAGGACCACAACATCTTCATAGTGTCATCAGTCATTGTAGAAGTGATATAAAGTTTGCCCTCGTTAATAATCAAATGACTCTAGGAGAGCCTGTTAGTCAATAAGAAATAGCCTTATGGATAAATGAGAATTTAGTTTGATTGGAAGATTTCCTTAAGTACATATTACATTTTTCAGATTCTGTTATAAATAAAGAGAACTGGGGAAATAAAAAAAAATATATTTGGGGGAGAAACAAAACTGATGGTTTTACCAGCTTATTTATAAGTCTTGGAAGGATTATTCCTTTATAAACCTAGTTTTGCATTCCTCAACCATGACAGTAGAATAGCATGCAAATCTCTTTTTCTGGAAATTTTCATAAGCTATTTCCTAAGATGGGAAGCATTTTTTTTTAAAATACATAAATCTATTCTTGCACTGAACAGAGATTTTTTTTTTCGTGAAATTGTACTTTAATGCATCTATTTTTTTAAGGTAATATATTTCCTTGTGTATAGGAATACCCTGATAATTTTCTGTCCATGTAGTTTTTCTGGCAACAGTATGGAAGTGAATGGTTACCATCCAGTCAAACCTGCAATCCTGGCTTTAATTAGTAATTTCTGATCCAAGTCCAAAGCAGATTTCATCCTTTTTTTTCAAGGTCAGCCAAGATTAGCAAAATCCTGTCACTTGCATCCATTTCTAAACATTTTTGACCTAAAATGCACTTTTGAAATACCTTTTAGTATGAGCTCCAAACTAAGAACTCAGGCACAGAATCCAGAACTGTGCAATCTGAAACACTAAACTGGTTTTATTTGCACATGATTCCAAGAAAATAAGATAAATTCAGATGAATTATACCCACCGGTATCCTTCTCTTGAGTCTGGAATTTTCCACCAATAACATGCTTGGCTTGCTAGAGCCATCTGGCTGGACAATGAACCATTTCTTCACCTTTCTGGATTCTTCAGCCTAAAAAGGCTTCCAAATTTTTACCAAAGAGGGATATTTGTTTTGCAGTGAGTTATATTGACATATCTGGTACCACGGGAGAACAAAGGCAGGATGTTTTCTAACTACTGATGGTAAGCCTGCATTATCATTAGAGTTGTTAGAGAGACCATAAAGTACAGAAGCCATACATTTCTCCAGCTCTTTTTCACTTAACTCTAGGAATGGAGGAGAGAAACAAAACATGCATTTCTGTGCTTCAGAACAGAAAGCCCACGGATAACTTCACAGACACAGCCAATTTTCTGGCAATCTTGTTGTCAGAGGGAAGAGAGCATTAGTGGGATGAGAGATGATTAGTAACAACTCCATCTCTTCTTCACTGCCATTGATATTGCCTACGTATCCTCTCTGATTCTTTAGATGGCACGATTTTCAATTTCATAGCACCACCATCTAAAAGAAAAGTGTAAGGAAGCATGAGGTTGTTTCTTCTCACTCTCACCATTGCTTACTCAATAGATGAAGCAAACAGTTCAGCTGAAGCAGAACTTGAGCCAGAAGGAGGCAACCATGTCAAGCAACTGAGGTAAGGTAGTCCTGTAAGGGCAGCTGGTTGCTGGTTGATTGATGTATTATCAAAAAGATCATATTGTGGAGCAGTGGTGGGTTTCAAAAAATTTTACTACCGGTTCTGTGGGCGTGGCTTGGTGGGCGTGGCATGGCATGGCATGGCTTGGTAGGCGTGGCTTGGTAGGCGTGGCACGGGAAGGATACCGGAAAATCTCCATTCCGTCCCCAATCCAGGGGAAGGTTACTGCAAAATCCCCATTTCTTCCCGATCAGCTGGGACTCAGGAGGCAGAGAATAGATGGGGGCGGGGCCAATCAGAGGTGGTATTTACCAGTTCTCCAAACTACTCAAAATGTCCACTACCGATTCTCCAGAACTGGTCAGAACCTGCTGAAACCCACCTCTGCTGTGGAGATTCCTTGGTGCTCTCTGAGCTTGCTTGTTTTCTTGCAGATGTTTCATTACCAAACTAGGTAACATCATTAGTGCTAGTCATCACTAGCACTGATGATGTTACCTCATTTGGGCAATGAAATGAATGCAAGAAAACAAACAAGCTCAGAGAGCACCAAGGATCCCTCATATCAACACTGAGCTACAAATAGTCTCCTTTATTGGTAGGTCATACTGTTGGCTTACAAACGTCTTTCAGAATGTGTGCTTGTTACTCAATGTGCAAATCTTGAGTGGCACTTTCACCATTTTATGGCACTTTCACCCCAGGCAATGAAATGTCCTACCAGCACTGGACAGAAGCAGCCAAGAGAAATACTTGAGTGAGACATCTCTAATAACTGAGAATGAGACATGCACCCCTCCTCTAGTCGGGGAATAGACTTTAGCAAATCTTTGGCAATACCTAGTCCAATGCTTGCCCTGTGGAATCAACCATCAAAGAGAACATCCACAAGCAACCTCCAGGAATATGGGACATGAAAGTCACCAACTGATCACTGTCACTTACCAGATGACAGTGTTTTCAGTAGCATCTCATAAGCAATGTTATATGCTCTAATTACTGTAGCTTCCCCAATCTCTCTAGAAGTTTTAGAATTAGAGTTGAATGTATCAAGTGAGTAGCAGTTTGGGCTCCAAGGAAGTTGAGCACAAGTGATATTTCAGCCTAAATAATAATGGAAGTTAATCAAATATGTTCCAAAATAAATGAATGGAAGCTGTTGTCTGACATGACTCCATTCATTTTATGCAATGACCATAAACATAACAAACTATCTATAGATACCAGTTGAGCTTTCTTTGAAGTTGCATAGCTTCAGCATGCCCCAATCCAGCCTCTTGTTTAATTTGGAGGTCATTTCAACTGATTCATAAATCTATCAGCTGCCTTAGCTATGCAAGAGATGGAAAGAAAAAGATGTAATAACATTCTCATACAAGATGCCTGGGGTACATCAAACATAAAGCAACATACTCTGTTGCTTTTCAGAGTGAGATGGGTGGTTTATAAATTTAATAAATAAATACAAACTAACCTCATGCTAGAACACAGGAATGAGTTTATAGACTGACCAGAATAATACTACAGTGTTTGTGCTTTCTCTATTATACTGTGTTTCCCCAAAAATAAGACCCTGTCTTATATTTTTTTGAACCCTGAAATAAGCTCTTGGCCTTATTGCCATGCACTCAAAAGCCTAATTGGGCTTATTATCAGGGGATGTCTTATTTTAGGGGAAACAGGGTATTTACTGAAGAAAGTATTTGTTTATGTCTTTCTTCCAAGCAGAAATACTAAGCATTTGTTGCTATCATTCCTGAAGATATTTTTTTTTTTTTTTTTTTTTTTGGTGATGAGCAATTCTAGCTTCCAATAATAAAATTGAGTTTTACTCAGTTTCTCTATAATCTTAGGAAGAAAAATGTGGAAGTAACAGATCCCAATAATGTTCACTATTCGGCAGAGAACAACACTGTTCAATATTCCTCTAAGGAAGGGGAAATGTTGCAGTTTGGGTTACAGCTCTTCATCGGAAAATGCAAGGTGTTAACCATCAAACTATATACCATATGTTTCTATACAAACTCAGTTTTTCTAAGTTTTGTCTTTGACATGATACCGCTGACTTTTATCTGCAGGTGAGCATTTCTCTTGAATCAAGTTTAAGGTCAGTAGACCCCAAGGTGTGAGCTGTAACAGTGGTATCTCCTGCTTATTTATATAATGATTGATAGCATTTCCCCCCAATCCTTTTCTTTAGTTTGTATGTCCATATGTTGCAATAATAAAACATCTTACCTTGCTAACTGACCTTGCTAAGTTAAAAGATGGAGAGAGGGTCAGGCTAGTTCTAGACCTCATGCTGATGTTTAACTACATTGACCAGGAAAAAGACACGCTTATGGGCAGAAATCCACAGGCATAGAATTTAGATGCTGCTGCCATGCTGTAAAGTTGCCCAGGAACCACTACAAAAATCACCTGCAACATTTGCTAAAGTTGCTTGAGGAGAGCTCCCTTGCGGGGCTTATTTGATTTCAGCAGCCAAACTGGAATCCTAAATCAGTTTCAACAGCTGATTTCAATTCCCAAATAATCTTATTATCTTGCAACATTTCACAAAGTGTAATCTACCTTGTAAGCCTCAAAATTAAATGTAAGACAAGTAACTCAGCAGTGTATCTTTATTTCTGCTACCCTGATGCTCCTGTGCCTTCTAAAGAAAGAGGAACTTTCGGGAAGAAAGTAAACCAAACATCATAAGTAAACAAAAAAAACCCAAAAAATCCAGCAGCCCCACATGAAAAAAGAGGAGTCATCTACACCATACAGTTTAAGGACTGTAACAGTCACAACGAAGGACAAACAGGCAGAAGCCTAGCAGAGCACATCCATGAACATCAACTAGCAGTCAGAAGACACGATGAAAACTCCTTAATTTCACAGCACATTGACAAATTCAACTGGGACACTGTTAGCATCCTAGACCAAGTCAAGTCCAAAAATGCTAGAGAGTTCCTGGAAGCCTGACCACTCAGGCAAATCATCCATCAACAAGCACATAAACAACATCTACATACCATTCAAAAGAGACAATCAAAAGCCAAAAAAGAAAACAAAAGGACCCAAACATCTCCACACCAAAAATCAACACCCAGAGGAGTAGACATTAACACCAAGCTTAGTACGAGACCAACAATCAAGATGTAAATAATAACCCAGTCAAGAACCATCAAGTCTGACAAATGAGCTAATAATAAACAACAGCATAATGAAGGAACCACCAAAACCAGTCCCACCAACACCGACAACATAAGCCACTAGTATAAAAATGAGAGCAAACCCCACTCCATTCTATCACTGATGATATTACCACTATCAAGACCCCACAGAGTATTCATGGTTTGTCTGCTTGCCCTTTCATTGTTTTCCTACCCCTCCCCATAATCCCTCATATTCCCACAGAATATAGAATCCACTCTCCAGTGAGCTTCATTTGTCTTTTTCCTGCTACACGGGAAATTCTCAAAATGCATGAAAATCTTTGAAAGAAAATGCAATCCTTATTTACCACGGGTGGTATTCAGCAGGTTATGACCAATTCTGGAGAACCTGTAGTGGAAATTTTGAGTAGTTCGGAGAACTGGTAAATACCACCTCTGACTGGCCCCGCCCCCATCTATTCTCTGCCTCCCAAGTCCCAGCTGATCGGGAGGAAATGGGGATTTTGCAGTAACCTTCCCCTGGAGTGGGTTGGGAATGGAGATTTTACAGTATCCTTCCCCTGGACTGGGGTGGAAATGGAGATTTTACAGTATCCTTCCCCTGCCACGCCCACCAAGCCAAGCCACGCCCACCAAGCCATGACCACAGAACCAATAGTAAAAATTTTTGAATCCCACCACTGTTATTTACCCTCAAGATTTCATCTACAGTTTGGGTTAGTTTCATGGAAATGGTTATATGAATATATAAATTTCCCAATTCCCACAGTATTGTCTTATGTCTAAATATAAGCTTAGCCATGTAGTATGGTTGTAGTATTATAATTACCCTTCTCATTTTCTCTACTATGTCATTTTATTGATATCATTATTATGATTATTATTACTCTGTTGTTTTGTATGTACAGTGAGAGTTTCTGCATTGGAGACCAATTCCCTAAGTCACACTTGGCCAAATTAAGTATAAAGTCTTCTATTCTACATATATACATATATTAATTGCCAGTTCAGCAATCTGCCCTAAATATGGACAGCAAATCCAAGACATTTACTGGGGTCCACTAATCCCTAATCCAGAGTCTGAATCTATTTTTTGAAGTTCATCTTTAGCAACTTCTGACAGGCACTAATTAACCTGAAGGACATTCATAAATGTTATACCTCATGAGAATAAAATCAGAAGTCACTCTGTCCTCACAGTCAGAAAGTTGACATGTTTATTTATTAGTGTTAGAGGAATTTTTCTCTCTCTGTCTTTCATGTTTTTGTTTTTGTTTTTTTGCTTTGGCACCAAACTTGGTAGCCTCCCACTCACAATGAGTGTCTCTTGGCAGCTGTTAATCTTTCTCTCAGATTGCCCAAAAAACAAAAACATTTCACATCTCACCTGAACAAGTTTTGCATGCTTGCATGTGTGTGAATACAATAAAAATAAATGGCTTAAAGAGGGAAGAAAGATATTACCAGTGATCACTCAAAGCAATATTGTGGAATTAATGCAGTGGTGAAATTCAAATTTTTTTACTACCTGTTCTGTGGGTGTGGCTTGGTGGGCGTGGTGTGATGTGGTGTGGCTTGGTGGGCGTGGCAGGGGAAGGATACTGCAAAATCTCCATTCCCACCCACTCATGGGGGAAGGATATTGCAAAATCTCCATTCCCACCCCACTCTGGGGCCAGCCAGAGGTGGTATTTGCTGGTTCTCCAAACAACTCAAAATTTCTGCTACCGGTTCTCCAGAACCTATCAGAACCTGCTGGATTTCACTCCTGAATTAATGTGAGGCTCCAGCATGTCATATGGAAAGGGAAGGGAGAGAATCAAAACAATCTACATACTACATGGGAAGTCAAAGACATATAACATGCATAAGTACTCTGGTTAAAATCCTCATTTGACAGCTGTGGAACAATCACATAATGGGGAAAAAACCTGTTGGGGAACTATGGAAACCCATAAATACTCCCTCCCCTCTGAGTCATTCAAAACCATTCCCATCCTACACATGCAAAGGAAACTGAGTTTATGAGATACTTTTAAGACTTTAAAATCGTGTTCCTTGAGGAGAGGATGGAAAGAGGACCAAAACTGCCACCATTTTATTCCAGAAAACCTTGTTCTGGGTTTGGCTTTTAAATGTTGAGCGATTCAGAAGGATTGCAGACATCAAGATCCTTGCCTCCTCTGACATTACAGAAGAAAAACTGTACGTGTTCAGAACTTTAACAGGTGTGTAGACAGGGTGGATTGCTTGTCCAGCAGCTTACTTTATTCAAGAAGTGCAGTAAAAATAAATATCTTTCCAAAGAGAGGGCAGTCTTTCAAGGTGCCTGGCCAAAAATATACTGTCGGACTACGCTGCTTCAAGCAAACCTATTTTTAAAACTGAAAAGCTTTTTTTTTTTTGGTCTGAATTTCTTTTCTTTTTAAAAATGAGAATGTCTTGCAAAGATCTGAAAGTACTTTTTTTTTCTTTTAAGTCCCTGAAAGCTTTTTGTGTTACCTTCCTTTTTTGTCTTTTGGGGAGAGTGGTACAGGGAAAAAAAATCTAAGAAAATACAGTGCCCACCCTGTGTATTTCTTATTCAGAACTGGTCTCATGCAATGGAATTTTTTCCCAAGTAAAAATGCTGATGAATTTACAACATTATTTGGTGTAACCCAGTTGGGGTCAAAGTGAAAGTGAAGGGTCAATTTCATGAAACATTTTCTGTTCAATGGGTCAGTTTAACCCGTTTTTAGTCAAGTAGCAGCTCTAGAAAAACACGATTCATGTAAGAAAGATACTAGACTCATCAAGCACAACATTCATAGACTGAGCTGGATGAATGACTAAATACTGCATGGGAGTTAGTTTTCACTTGCAGGGATCAGCTTATTCTTGAGTCCTGGGTTGTGCCAATTAGCCTTACTAGTGGGTGGGTGGCATGATTCAGTGCCCTTCAAACTAAGCTAAGCCTACCTAAGCTAAACTATATTAAAGATAAGCTCAAAGCTAAGCTAAGCTCCCTCACATTTGTTTGGAGAGGAGTTTTATACTCACTTCCTTCCTGCACCTGGTTACTACACATTAAATCAGCGAATACAATTACAATGACCATCTACAATATATAATGACTATAATTACAGTTGCCTGGCTATCATTACCAGTTCATGCCAAATACCAAGCCTATAGAATCAAAAATCACTGTTGATGATACTCGGCTGAACAAATATAAACAGCTTCGAATATTTGGGAAGCATCATCTCAAGCTATGGGTCTTTGGATAAAGAAATTAACTCCAGGATGAGCAAGGCCAGTCAGGCACTGAGGCGGCTGCATGCTAGAGAGCTCAATCAAGACAACATATGTATCTCTACAAACCTAAAAGTATATATAGAGGTATACAGGTCTAGCCTGCTAGGGGTTCGCAGGGGTTCGGAAGAACCTCTAGCTAAGATTCTGTGCAGTTCGGAGAACCCCCAAATCCTACTCCCCGCCCACCCCTCCCCTCCCAGGAGTCCTCACGCTGTCCGTTTTGGATGCAGGTAAGTGCAGGGCATGCACGGAGGCTCGGGGAGAGTGAAAAACAGAACAACCGGAAGTTCGGGAAGGCTTCCATAGGGCCTCCGGAACCTGGGGAGGTCATTTTAGCCATCCTGGAGGCTCGATGAAAGTCTCCGGAGACTGGGGAGGGCAAAAATGCCCCCCCATGGTGCAGGAGGCTGACTAGGCCACGCCCACCCAGCAACCGAGCAGAGAACCCCTTGCTAACATTTTTGAAGTCCACCCCTGGAGGTATAGGTATTCCTTCCCTGCTATGTGGGTTTGAGTCCTGGACTCTGTACTGAAGGCAAATCAAACAACTGGAAAAAAAAATCACTTAAGCATTCTCCATTCCATCTGGCGCATTTGTGGGCAAGACTGTATCTCCAAATTGGAGGTCTTAGATAACACAGATTCCACAGATTAACGGAGCCCAGTTGAGATGAGTGGGACATCAGAAAGGATGACTGACGTGTGCCTCACCAATTGTTCTATAGTGTACTGGAGTCTGGGAAGAGACCTCGAGGTCAACCATGCAAGCGCTATAAAAATGTTGTGAAAGAAACCGTACTCCACTGTGACATCCAGCGAAGAGAACTAGAAGATGCCATTGCTGACAGAACCCACTGGCAAGTCCTGTGCTATGAAGCCTCCACTGGCTTTGAAAACAGGTCCTGCCAAAAATTGATAAAGACCCATGAGTGGCATCACAGAGTAACACCCACAGTTATTACAACAATGTCCTTCCAGTGCCCCCACTATGCTAGATGCTATGGTTCCAGACTGAGACTGCAGAGCCTCCTCTATGTCCACAGAGGAACAGCACAACAGCATGTCTTCTTTGAACCCAATGAACTACCGTATCTTCCTAAACATGGTTCCTACATATGAAATCAGCATCTACAGTACAGTTGCAATCTTTGTACCCCACAGAGTATTTGGCTTCCCGTGCAAAGCCAGAAGTTGGTAATCTTGATTTTTCTCCCCTCTGATTTGTAAGCCTCATCTTCAGCCTTATACCTAAAAGAATGTGTCTGAGCAATTCCAAAGCAGTATATTGTAGCAACGAATAGGCTGGAGAAGTCTCTAAAGATGTTTCCTTGTTGAATCCTACTAAATTCCAGCCACCAGAGAACATAACAGATGGTCTTAAGGAAGTTTGCAG